AGATCAAGAAATGAAGTCGATATAAGATTGGTGTCGGTTTCTTCTATATTGAATACGAGTGATGTAATATTGATAAAACGTTAAATAATTGGATGATGTGCATATTGGTGGCCAACAAATATGCGAGCATACGAAAATATTTGATGTAAAACGAGGTATCATAAAGATATTTCGCGAATATAGACCATCATGGGCAACAAATCAGCGTTTTTGTTCAAGTCAAAATAGTGAACAAAATGAATCAAGAATATTTTCTTCGGGAAAATGTGGTAATGAACATAGAAAATGCAATCGAAAGTTGAATATAGTCAAATGTGAAACAAGTAATTCCCATTTTTGGTCATCAGTAAGATCCAGATAACCTTGTGCGATAAGTTCGAAATAATATAGATTATATATTTTAGATAAAAATTGTTCTACATGGATCATGGTCTTTTTTCTACCTTAATTTTAAAAAACAAAGAATATATATATATACAATTTTCAAATAACTATACGCACCATGGATGTTTAGGATGAGCCATCTTAGATGGGGCAATAATGATATGTTATATGTTCATTTTGGATAATTGTCATATGAAAGTTTGACATCAAGTGAATAAAGATTCGGAATTTGATTTAATATAAATGATAAGCCCCAGCAAAAGAAATTTTGAAGAGTTAAATGACGTAGATGAGGCAATGAAACCAAAACGAGATTATGAGCATGGGGTAGTGCTAGTCGATTCAGTCAAGGAATTAATTTATATATAGCAGTATATGTCTGTGTTTATTATCACTAATTGTAGTCATATCGAATGACTGAAGATGAATGAATTATTCGAGTTTAAAATGAGAAAAGAACAGGTTTGATTGATTTGATGTATCATTGTCATGGGACAATATAACAGAAATGACTTGATGTGGTCATATATGTCAGCAAAGAAGATCAAATTTCGATTTAAGAACAGAATGAAAGTTGAGTAAATAGTGACAATAGCCAGCTAATACAGAATCCAGGTAATCACTTAGGCTAGAAAATGAATAGTAGATATCATGTACTCAGAGATAATCAAAAATATCGTGAAGTAATTCAATACGCAACCGATCTATTCGACTCAAAGGCATTATATAATAAAAAATATCATGTGAGATAACTGATTTCTTATTGCTCGTTCATGATGTAATAGTATAACACACTACTTTATTTCTTATTTCATTCTTTAGTCGATACCACTTGCAAACGTTGTTCTTTCAGATGTGAAACACATGTCGAGATGCAAATGAGATTGACAAATCAAAAGCTTTGAATAAAATGAGCAAACATATCTTTCAATGGTCATGTATCGTTTCTGCATCTTTAGTCTTTATGTACTTTAATCATTGCCATTTTTTTTCTTTATTTACAACATTTAGTACGAGTCACTGCTTTTCATTTTTAAGCCGCTTGTTTTTCTCTTTAATTCAACTTTATAATACTAGAGAAGTTTTTTTCGATGAAATTGAAATATAGAAAAATTCAGATAATAAAATCAACTTTTTTTCTCTAGGAAAAATAAATAAGCAAAGAAGAAAAGCCTACTTCGAACGTTATCTTGTTTGAGTTTACTTGGGCCATCGATCTGTATAAAATTCATTAGGACGAAAGATGTTTGTACGTAGAGAATTATCGATTAAGTTTTTTTCTAGGTGTAATTTTCCTCAAGTTTCACAATAATCTGAAGTCAAATGATGCCAAAATGTACCTTAAGGACACTTTTTTCACTATAAAATATTTAAATGTCCTTGAGAATCCACTTCGTAAAAGAGATCGTGGATTAATCGAAAATGTGATGGTTTTATAGTGAGAAAAGTGTGATTTAAGCTACATTTTGACATAATTTGAGTTGAGATTATTATGAAAATCAATGAAAGTACGCATAGAAAAAAAATTAATCGGCAATCTTGTTCGAAAAGCATCTTTCGTCCTCATAAGTTTTATACAGATCGATGGTCTATATGCAGTGATCGTTTGGAAAATAAAAAAGAAGTTCATTTTCGATCAGACAGATGGATTCATTCGTTAAGAGGAAACCAATTTAATTGAATCATAACACAACTTAACAATTAGTTGGGAAAGAAGATAGGATATGAAGCTGGCAAGTCACGAATGGCGCCGATGAATGATTCGCCGTTTGTTTCCAAGATTGATATGAGCCTTTCTTTCGCGAAGCTTTCTAAAGATAGGACAATAGTTTTCAGAAGAGCTCGATCAAGTAGATAGAATCTGGGATCGGTGAGTTACAACTGACGCCCTCGAGAGACGCTGATGAGCGACTCGCCATTTATTTACGAGATAGACACGTCTTTTCTTGCGTAAAGCTTTGAATGAAATATAGAGTATTTTTCGAAAGAGCTGAGGCAATTGTTGTGGTGAAGACGACTGATTCAAAATCGTACCAATTTCTCATAAAAGCCAAAGAAATGTAATCTATGATGAGAATATCGCGCGAATACTACATATTCCAAACTCGACATTATCAGTGTTGCTTTTTCCAAATTGCAAAAGTTGAAAGACTTGTCCGTATGGTGTTGGCTATAGCATCACACAAACTGACGATTTATCTGGTAATATTTGTCAAAGTGAATAGAATGAATTCAGTCGAGAGTGAAGCGAGTCGTAGCGACGAGCGTTACTTGTTTCTATGGTATAAAAATATACAATACACGGTGGAAAAAAGCAACGACTTTGAAATTTGTTTATGTTTAAGGTGTGAATTCCCTTTGATAGTTTTAAGTGAAATCAATAAAGGATGTTGTTCAACTTGATATGGGTGTGGATGTGTGAGTGTCAAACTGAGATTACACCCACACACCCATACCCACACCCCAGAGCCACATTCACTCACACCAAAACTGAGAGGAACACTAGGGTGTGGGTGTGAGTACAAGTGAAAAAGAATTATTACTCGCATGCCCACACCCTTACACTCAAATTTTTGGTTAAGATCTGATTTAGATCTCAGTTCGACTTCATCTAAGCCCTTAAATTTTACTGTTGACTATTCAGGAAGGGTGTAGATAAGAGTTTGAGTGTAAGCAAGGGTTAATGTATCAGTCTAGGTGTACAGAAGTTGTCACAGAGATTCACACTCTCCCTCAATCCATACTCACACCCACATGCACCTGATTCACTCGAAGAACAAAAAAAGTGCAATGGAATGAGTCAGAAATTTTTTCAAATGTCTTGAATAAGTTGGTAAAAAAGAAAAAAAGCATTGGTTGGAAAATACCAAGCATACTGTTGGTATAAATAAGTGAAATTTATTGTGAATTTTGTTGCATTTTAATTGATTTTGAATATGAGCTATTCAGATTACCAACCACCATGTCCTCCACCGGCACGCGTCAAATGCATCTGGTGTCACTTTTATGCTTCTGGTCGATGTTCTCATTGTCGCCAACGTTTTAATCCTGCTTGTTTTCAACAACATGCTCAAACATGTCCTGGTGCGCGCAATTTTGTACAAACACAACTACGTCTCATCCCTGAATGCTGCTTTTGCAACAACGATGCTGTTGGTAACTGCAGTTGGTGTAATGAACTAGTATGTGGCGGATGTTTCGAGGCTTCGCACAAGATGAAATATAAATACGTGAGACGATAGAATATGAAATAATGGCGAAGAATCTATCGAATGACTCTGTATTATGAACTTTTTCTGTAAGTTGTCTACTAGATTGATTGTAAAATCTATTGAATGTGAACTACGAGACTGTAATGTGTGTTTTTTCAATCATATAAACAATAAACTCGCACTTCTCATTAAAAAACGTTGAATGCAGGCTGTGATAGTACTGTAAGGCCAAATTCAGTTGAACTCGCACTTTTTATATTACCCATAACGTGGCACCGTCTGGATTCTTGAATAATTATCAAAAATAAACAATAAAAGAAATGATGTTCGTACATATAGATGATAACATGTACTTTGCCCGAATGCACTGATGCGTATGATCACAATTTGTCCTAAGAAACAAAGGACAATTACTTATAACGTTAACTTTTACATAAATATATTTTTTTCTACATTAGAATGTCTCTCTCTCTCAATATCAAGGAAAAACTCCACACATAGTTATATACAACCGTAGAAAGATAGAAGAATTTTCGATGCATGGGGAATTAATCGATGATGAGTAAAAAAAGAAATATTACACAACCATAAAAGATATCATTCAAGATGAATAATTGTTAGTTTTGGTCCGAGTCTCAGCATGATCTCGCTCAACATTTTCTTTTGACTAGAGTCGGGATCAAGATCAGCACTTATTTATTGAAAGCGATATCCTTTATAGTTATGCAAAATATGGGTAAAATTTCTTATTGTTACGATTCATGTGTTTCAGTTTTATCCAAAAATTATGAAATAAATATCACTTCAATATTTGCTGTTATAATTTTGATAGAAAAAGAGTTCTTTTTGTATTCAGTAAAAAACAGAGAGGTCAAAGCATGTGCGCGAGGAGAAGATCTAATCCCACACATTCACCATCCATACTGCTTCTAAAAAAAAATTCCTTCCACTTATTACTTCATACATTAAATAAAGTCTCTTTTCACAAGGCGATTAGTTTCGGTGTGAGTGTGGGATATGGGGCGTGGATGAATGAAGTAAAGATTACTATTTACACCCACACCCCACACTCACACCCTCTTCAATTGATACTACCATATATCATATCGAAGTTCAGTTTCAATAGATGGCAGTAGTTGACGAAGTATAATTTAACAATATTTTCCTTTAATGCTAGCATTTTTTTAAAGAATAAATGTAAATATTTACAAAGAAAAATATATTAACATAAATTGTTAATATAATATGAATGATGAACTAAACTAACCAATCATTTATTAATATTTCAGATTCTTTGTTCATCGTTTTTTCAAAGAGAAAAAAAAAGACGAATCCAATCATTCGTAATTATTGTATTAGTGCAATCCAATTGCTGTCATTTCATTATTAGTTTTTTCTATATCAATGGCTACTGAACAATCATCTCCAGGTAAACACGACGTTCTATCATCAATTCCTCTCAATCTCACTTCAGAATCTCCATCACGAAAACGTCCACGTCGTTCAAAACAAGAACCACAACATATAATCGATAATTCAACAACTGAAGAAACTGAAATGGATACAACATCAACTAATTCCAATAAACGAAGTTCAATTAAAAAAAAAACAAAACCTTTACATTCTGTTGATTCTATTGATACGAGTGCTGATTTATATGAACCAGGTGATATTGTTTGGTGTAAATTAGGTGGTTTTCCATGGTGGCCAGCATTGATTGTATGTTTAATATAATTAAAAAAAACTAAATAATTTGATTTTCTTGTTTCTTTTATTATTAGTATCGTTGTAATGCTGAAGGTGGAATACATACAAAAACATTGAGTATGTTTAGAAAAAAAAAACAAGATAACAAATAAAAATTTGTTTTGTTTTCTAGATTCAAATAATAAACCTAAGCGATTATTTTTTGTTTATTTTTATGGTAAATATCTTGAATATTCATGGATATCAACTCGTTGGTTATTAAAGTATGCTGGATTAAGTAATTTTATTCAACATGCTGAAGCTGCTGTACAACAAGTAAATTTGTTTTTTCTTTGAATAAAAACAACTTATCGTTTCGAATCATTGATATTTTTTTTTGTAGGCTTCAACAAAATCTGAACAACAAGAATTAGCTAATAGATATCAATTAAAAGTTTCAATGAAAAAACGTGTACAATGGTAATCATTTTTTTTTTTAATTTAATTTATTTGAAGAAAAAAAATGTTATCATTAAGGGATGAAGCTATTGAATTAGCTGATCGAGCATTAACAATGACAAATGATGAAAGAATTAAAGAATTTAGTGATTTATTAAAAGATGCTTCGAATCAATCAAAATCTGGTATTTTTATATTTATAGAGAATTTTCGTATTGATAATAATATAATTACAGGTGTACGTCGTCCAAAAACATCTATTGAGAAAAGTCAAAATGAAGAAGAAGATGGAGGAAATAAACAACATGCACGAGATTCTTCGATATCGTCTGTTATTTCTATTCATGATGTAAATGATCGGATAAATACAGTTGAAAAATCACCTGTATCACTTCGAAAATCTATATTATTAAATCAAAACGATTCAACAGCATTATCAGAAGATGAACAAGTAGTAAAAAAGAAACGTGGACGAAAACGAAAATCAGAAATACCAAATGAAACAAATAATAATAATTTATCAAATTTAACAGTAAGATTGTTTTTTTTTGGTCTTTTCTAAGACATTATTTACAAAAAAAAAAATTCTTTAGAACACAACAACAAATGATAATGAACCTATGAAAACTCGAACAAGAACTTTATCTCCAAATAAAGATCAAACTGTTAAAGAAAAACCAATACGTAAAAGTCGTCGATCAGCAATAACAAATGGCAATGAAATTGAATATGATGAACCACCATTATCACATCGTTCTGATCAGCAAACATCATCACCAGTTGTTCATCTTATTCAAGCAAATAATCCTCCATTATCAAATTATGAACAAAAACAAATTGTTGAAGGTCTTCTTCATCATCCAAAAGAGAAAACTTTGACATTTGATGAAGCTCAAACATATGCAATTAATAAAGCAATTGAAATTGGTAAAAATTTTCAAAAAAAAGAAAAACGAAATAAAATTATTTAAATTATTTCTTTTAGTTTATGAAAATCATAATTATCGAATGAATAATATTTCACCTGAATGGTTTTATGAATCAATCTTATTAAAATATCCATCTGTTGTATTTAAATATCGTTCATGGTTTGAACATGTTAAAATTGATGTTATACCAAATGGAAACGATATGATTAAACTTAAACAATGGCAAATTGCTCTTATGCTTCATGCACAAATAAAATCTGAACAACAACAACAACAACAACAAGAATAAATTTTATGAGATGAAAATCAATATTGTTTGTAGAAATATATATATATCTATTTTGAACTCGTAGAGTTCTTTTGTTTTTTGTACAGGAACCCGTGAGAAAAGAAAACGTTATTTCTTTTGTGTGTGTGTGTGTGTGTATTGTCAACTGTTTTTCTGTTGATTAACCTTTCTCCGTAGAAATGATATGTTTGTTAAATGTAAAAACAAAACTGTGAGATTGGTTTACTTTTGCAATAAACAACAAAAAACATGTGAATGAAGAGTTTTGATATGTATTTCATAGAAGGTACTGAATAATTGTGTTGAAATATAATTTAAAGGCTTGAACAAATTAAAACAAATGTAGGAATTGTTTTTGATACGTGTCTGCCTTGATGTGAGAGGACATTGAGATGGGCTAGTCCTTTCTTTTTTTATGTTATGTCTGCGAAAATTTCAGCTGTTGTCTGAAAACCTTCGGCCAAGTTTAAGAAGGCAGCTTTTGTCAAGCACTTTCTGTCAGGTAGAGTGCTTTTGTCTGCCCACCAAATTTTTAACTCCTCCCATTCCCCAAAATTATCGAGAGCTCAGATTATTGTTAACAAATCCTCACAAGAAATCAAAGAAATACTGCGAGAGTACCATGTAAGTGTTTAACATAAATTGGAAATATGTCTATTTCTCATACATTAAGAATACCATATTATTCGCTTAAGACATGATAACTCCGTTTGTTAAGAGAAAAATAAGTTATGTAATCCTAAAATGGAATATCAAGTGGTTCAGCAAGTCAAACAATGAGTATCTTTACATTGTATACTTCACAGACTACTTGAGAGATAACGATAATATCTCGAATAGCTAAAAATTGACCATTAATAAAATAGAATATTAAAGTTTATTCTCTACCTATAAACTTATTGAAAAACCACAAGATATATACTCAACTATTATCATTTAGTAAATGTCAAAACTAAATAGATAAATCACATCCACCTGTTTTAGATTGGCTGTTATTAATCAGCGCGTTTTCTTCCCGAAATGATGATATTAAAGTATAATTAGAAATCGCTGATTTGTTTCAAGTAAAATTGTTTAAAATTCACAGGAATGCATAATTTATATTAGATATGTAACAATGATTATAAGTCATTGCTTATTAATTTTTACATGATTCCGACAACGAATTAATAAGTCAATTATAAACACAGAATGATTAATGCTGGTCTCGTATCACAACGTATTTTATCATAGAATGTCTACAAAATGCAAAAATGTGTTATCACTTTTAGATTGTTGTATATTCAACAGACTAAACTACTTTTAATTAAATTACCTTTTAACATATCATCAAATAAAGAACAAAAAAATCATTTCTTTATTCTCATTGGTACATAATCCAGTCAGTTATAATGTTCAAGTGAGTCTATGATTGAGATCTGGAACTAAAATGAATAAAATTCTTTGGCTGACTTTGTAAATATTACTTGACAAAGAATATGCTTTCTTTTGATGATTATTTCTATGACAAATGTTTTCATACGATTTTAACGAAGAAATCTTAGTGAATAAAAAAAAACTTAGGATTTGAATTCAAACTAAATAAATTCTAATGGACTTTCTTTTGCAATTTTCAAAGTACTTCATAAACTTCTTACATATCATAGGATTGAAAGGATCAACTTTAAACATTCATATTGAAATAGATACAAAAAGAAAATACAAGGATAAATAATAGACTATCAGCTTTTGAAAACATATTAAACTAGTTCCACGCGACATGATTTTTGTTGTTATTTTGATCAATAATACAAGAAGAAATAAATGAGGCCTTGTGCACCAGTTGCTTTGATACGTATCTCATGAGATACGTATGTCTAGACTTTTAATGATGCCAAAATCAATGTTTTTTTTTTCATGAAAGCAGATGGTATTAATGTGCCTTTATGATACGATATTGATTTAGAAATAACATGAAAGCTTTCAAAAAAGATCTAGAAATATACAAAACATCGGAATGTAGGATACGATGATAATTTTGAAAATTCCGAGAATATAAAATCTACATATTTCCCACTTGGAAAAGGCGTGAATATCGTACTATGGTGGTTTATCAAGATAAGGAATAAAAAGCTCCTCGTTTACGATAAGTTAATCGGTGAACAGAACATTTGTCATTTCGTCCACTTCTGGCGGTTCTTCATACAATTAGATTGTTTAGTCACTCCTTTCACTACCCAGTCAGACAAAAATTTCGAAAAACGCGTTTAAACGCACAATCGGGAACCGCGACTGTGATCCATTCACGCTCATTAAAAAAACGCACGAAAACGCGTTTATTGGCGTTTTTTGTAACTTTCTGGGCGTCAAAATGACGAAAATTCCAATTTTTGAGCGTTAAAACGTATTGTTTTTAAGTTCTAGAATAATAGTGCGTTTTAACGCTCAAAAGCTGGAATTTCCGCCGTTTCGACGCCCAGAAAGTTACAAAAAACGCCAATAAACACGTTTTCGTGCGTTTTTTTAATGAGCGTGAATGGACCACAGTCGCGGTTCCCGATTGTGCGTTTAAACGCGTTTTTCGAAATTTTTGTCTGACTGGGTATCACTCAGAACTGAGATGTAAGAATAATTCCATTGATTATATTTTTATTAGAACAATTTTTTCTTGTTCAATCAAAAACAACTTTCATTATGAGTTTTACTTACAAAAATCTTGATAGTGAAGTAATCAGTACATTGATATAGAGTGACATCTATCTAATTTTGTCAATGAATCATTTCAGACCGATTTATTCTTCTAATTATCAATTATTAAAAAGAATTATTTCAAATAATTTCATATGAAAATTTTGATTATCTGAAAGAATATTATAGAGGTCCTTCTCATGTTAAATGGTATCAAGAGAAAGAAAACATAACGAACAAATTACAGCAGCTGCATCTGTATTTTTTTTTTGCTATTATTCGTTCATTCATCAAAAGAAAAGAACTATTTTTTCTGTTTACAGATTTGTACTTCTATTATATAAAAAAAATCAATGACTGATACAGAAGTAACAATTTCTGGTAATAATAGTGTTACTGGTGTTGATACAGAAATTGATTTATATGCTGACGTTGTTGAAAATGAACTTGAAACAGTATGAAAAAGAAAAAAAACAATTTTTTTATTAAGAACAAAAACGAATTCGTGTTGCCCGTATTTTCTTCTAGGAAACTGATGATAATTATGGAATTCAAAATGAACATCTTAAACATATACAACAAGATGCTGATTTATACGATGATGTAATAACAACGCAATCATCAGGAACAGATTTTACTGATATAACAAATACAGTTAATCAAAATAATGCTAAAATTGATCAATCGAATGGATCTATTACAAGTGGAAGTTTGTCATTGAATGCCTATGGTGGACGACGAGTTTCACTTTATGTTGGTCAACTAACTTGGGTATGTGATAAAGCTACTTCGAAACAAAAAAGAAAAATTTTTTTTCTTTTGTTTTTTTTTTAGTGGACAACAGATGCTGATTTAGCAGATACTATTCATGATATAGGAGTAATTGATTTACTTGAAGTTAAATTTCATGAAAATCGTGTTAATGGTCAATCAAAAGGGTAAGTTTGTTTACATTTTTATTCTTATAGTTTAATTCTATCATTTTCATTTTATTATAGTTTTGCTGTTGTTACTGTTGGTTCTGAAGCATCATCTCGAATTCTTTTAGAAAAAATATCAAAACGTGAAATTCATGGACAAATACCAACTGTTTTACCATTTAATAAAACTTCATTAAGTTTTTTTGAAGGTACTACTCGTAAAGACGCACCTATGGAAACAATGCCACCAATGGGTGTACCACCTCGTAAGTTTCTTTTTTTTTTTTATAAATTAATCTAAAAATCATTCATTTAATAATCTTGAATGTTTTTTTCAGTTCGTCCTATGATGCATCCACAAATAGGTCTTCCATTACCAATACCTCGTGGTGGTCCTATGGATGGACCATATCGTTTTTCACATCAAGGACCTGTTATGTTACCTAGCGGACCAGCTGGTATGGGTCGTCCACAATTACAAATAGCTCTTGGTCAACGTGGTCCTATGCCTGGTGGTCCAATGATTCTTGGTCGAGTGTCTGGTCCACCTCCACCTGTTGGTGTTCCTCAACAACAATCTGTTATTGTCATGCAACAATCACAACGACCTGGTGTACCTCCAGGTACTAATGGACCTCCTCTTGTTAGACAATCTATTCGACCTGGAACACCAGGTGACTTTAAAACAAACGACATCTTTGTTTTTTTTCTCTCTATATATGATTGTTTTATTTTTTTTAGGCGGACCTGTACCTTCAAATTCAATGACTGTCATGTCTGGTCAACATCCATCTAGTTATTATCCAGGTCAACCAATGCCAGGCCAAGGAGTATGTCATTTTTATTTTTAAGCAATATGTAAATAATGATCTTAAAATCTAGCCTCCTCCACATGGTCTTTCTATGCCTGGTCAACCACATCCAGATCCATATTATCGTGGTGTTGATAATCCAACAAGTATGGTAACTATAAGTGAAGCAGAATTTCAAGAAATTATGGAACGTAATAAAACTGTATCAAGTAGTGCAATTGCTCGAGCTGTTCAAGATGCATCTGCCGGTATGTATTTACATTGATTGTTATTTATTGTGAAACACGATCTAAATGGAATATTGAAATATAGAGGATACACATTTCGACTTTCTACAGAGCGTAACAGACATAACTTTTCTTTCATAATAAACTGAAACATACAGTATGAGTACCAAAATTATTCAATAAAGTTTATTTTCAATTTCTTTTTTGCTGCTGTAAATGCTACAAATAATTCGAAAAGAAATATAAGGAAATAAAAATTATTATCACATTTTCAAAGATAGAGACTTCAGAAAATCAAAAGATTAATTTTTCAGTACCCAGAACGAGTAAATATACTTTTGTTTATATTACATAGAACAATAGAGCAAATAATTCTCTACAGGATGAGATATGTCATTGTTCTCTGCGACATTCTTCGACTGTGATACAACCATTTTGATTGAAGGTCGAAAAGTGACGTTTTGATAGGAAGTTAGACGTCTCGTTTTATAGAGTATTGTTTTTGGTGTATCGTTCTATGTAGAGTAAACGTGATTATATTTACCATTTTATCTTGACAATGACTACACAGTAGTCGAAACGTCGACTTTCTCAATAAACTATATCATAATTTTTATTTCTTTATATTCTTATTGGAAATTATTATCTCTATTCCAATCATTATTTGGATTTTTTTCAACACTTACGATAGAAGAAAATATTTTGAAAATAAATCTTGTTGAATAATTTTAGTATGCATCTTTTACAAAGCGTTTCATATTTTAATCTCATAGGAATTATACTAATAATAGTTTTTATTAATTAGGTGAATTTGGTACTGCTATTGAAACATTAGTTACAGCTGTGTCACTTATAAAACAATCAAAAATTGCTCATGATGATCGATGTAAAATTTTAATTAGTTCTCTTCAAGATACTCTTAAAGGTATCGAAGATAAATCTTATGGACAAAGGTAGATTTTAATTTTTTTGTTTTCTTTTGTTTTTATATTTAATTTAAAAAACAAAAATTTTTTTTTAATATATAGAGCACGTCATCGAAGTCGTTCTGGATCGCCTCGTGAATCACGTAAGAAACATCGTCATCGTACACGTAGTCCACGTGATCGAAATGAATATCGACGTAGTAGTGAAGATTACGATGGAAAATATAGTCGTGATCATCGACGACGATGAAAACTATTTTGCTTTTTTTCATATTTGTGAACAAAAAAAAAAAACATTGAAACGAACACAAGACATAAAATCTGGTAAGCTGTTCAATAAATTTTTTGTATTCGCTCGTTTGAAAAAAAAAAATTTTTTTTTTTTCATGATGGTTGTGTGTATATGTGATTGTCGTCTTCTTTCTTTTTTTAATTCCCTCGTAATGATGTCTACTTAGTCAGATGAATATATATATATATATGAATATCGTTATGATTCTATTAAATAGAATTATTTATTCTCTAGTCATAATATAATGAATAGTCAAATAATGTTTTTTATTTTATTTTATTTTGTTCTATACAACCGTCACACTTTTATATGTTTTGTTTTTCATGGCCTTTGGAATATTGTTCTCAATTTTTGTTATTGTCTTTTTTGTTTTAATGCATTAATTGAGATATTTCGTATTCTACTATGCAAATGCATGGGTTTTTAAAATTTTATTTTTGTTTTAATATATTTTTTTTTTCATCTTTTTTGTTTCCCATTAATGATATAATAGTATTTTGATAAGATATATATATAGTATTCAATTTTGTTTTATTCATCGATGTATATAAATAAGAAATTTTTTCTAAATAATGAATAAATAGTTTTTTTTTTTTAATATAATGATAATTATTATTGTTGAACAATAAAAATGAGAAAAATTTGGCAAATAAGTCCCTTGAGAATTCGTATATTTACAATGTTTCCTTTTTGTTTTCTTTCGTTTCATAAACGAGTATCATTCAATGGATGCTTGTTGATATTGTAAAAACAGTAAGTGTGCAAAAAAAAAGAAGAATAAGTCTTTGAATAGAATCCTTGAAGGAATCAAAGGTGAAATACGATGGATTGATTTTCATTGTACATGAGAATATTGTTCTTTTCTCTAGTATTAGCCTTCATATGTCATTTTTGTTTTTAATAATTATGTTTCAAAAAAAAAAAAAAAAAAAAAAAAAAGAAGGAATAATTGTTTGTGTATATTGAATTATTTTTGTTTTGTTTTATAGGTCAACGACTCGAGTGAACGATGGTCACCCGTGTTTTCTTTTTCTTTTATTGTTCTTGGCTTTATTGTACAAAGATTTTCTTTTTTTTTTCTTTCCTTCGTTTTTTTTTCTTGTTTATTACTATAACTCTATATTACTTTATTGTACTGTTCATTGATGTTGTTTCATGTTTTCTACATTGGTGTTTATGTATGAATAAGAAAGGACAGAAAAAAAAGTATGTGCTTCGAAATTTTTATATTATTTACAAAGGAATCAATAATGCTATTGTATCAACATAAAAAATAGTATTGAAATTTTTCGTAACATTTCAGAAAATCAATGGTTGATATGTTTATATTTTTTTGTTCTGTTTGCAAGTTATTATTCTACTTATAAATATATGTTAATATGTCGAGCACTTAGTAATAATAATCTTCTATTTTCAATCAAGGTCAAATAAGAGATAGAAAAATGTCATAACATTGTTTTTGATCATGAATAGATTTATTAATGACAAGATGAAACGATGTAAACAACATGAATAATTTTAGAAACGATCTCATGTTACACATCTATTCGCACGACCCGCAGGTTTGAATCGCATAGGATATTTTGTCTATTATAAAATTCTATCGTCCGTGCTCAGTTATACCTTGATTGAATTTCCTATCCTTTGTTTTGTGTAAAGCGTGATCTAAAATGTGTTAAAGTATATGAATAGCAATTTCGACTCACACAGATACAACCATAGTAACGTCATAGACTGTATATTAATAACATCATGCCATCATATATGAACTACTTATTGCATTCCTGGGGAATTAAGTAAATAGATAGTGGTAGTAGATTGGAACAAGTTATTGACGATTTTTTAAACATTTTCTATTATCAACTGTCCAAATATATGCTTTGATCTATGAACACATATATGAAAGCTAATCTATTCAAATGATTTTCATCCATAGTACTTTGAAGATATGATTTTATCAAGCTTTAAAATCGAAAAAACTTCGTACGTCTATGATTGTTGTCATCGGTAACGGTTGCAAAAATTTAGAAAAGAAATTTTAATATTAGAGAAGAAGGTATTCGTCATTACTGAGTCTTATACTTACCAATTATCAACAGAACGAGCATAAAGGATCCGTGGGTTATTTCAATGTTAAACTCTATAAATACTCATCAGTTGTGTGACAAGAATAGAAGTCCTATCCAACAAGAGCAAGAATTTCTGTAAATCATATAGCTATAAAAAGATACTTAGCGTATAGAATGTATACATTTCAAAGGAGGAGGCGGCTTCCACCCTCCTAACATATTGCAAGCCAGAAAGATTATATTATCAATTGGATGGATATACATTTATATACTATCATGAGAATATAGCTTTTCACTAGCTTGTCTATTTGTTGAGTATCCACATTTACTCATTCAGGTGTTCACGTATAATTTTATGACAACTTGTTATCCCTATTAAATTATTTATATAATTTTCAATCGAAACAAGTAAGACGATAACAATAACTTGTTTTTGATTTAAAATGGTGTGTAACTTTTATTTTATTTAATATCGAATTATCTTAATTTGTATTCTAAATTAAATATTTCTATCACAAAACAAAAAGAAATCTACATGATTAAATAAATAAAATGTTGTTTCGAAATTATTAAGTTCTTCATAATATTTGAATATATTGAAGAAATCATCTATGAACTGTACAAGTATGTCTCGTATTGAGTTCAATTAATATTTAACAAGATTTTGAACGTTTATCACGCATAGAATTATTTTTTATATTATTATTGGCATTTTTGGATACTTTGTATTGTTGGTTTAATGGTGTCTTACTTTTTATAAGACTACCAGATATATTGTCATGTGGTATTGACGATTTGATATATGCAAAATTTGAAATAAGTGGTCGTTGAATTGCTAATTCTTTTTAGAAAAAAAATACATTCAAAAATCAATAGATTTATTTATTCATACTTCGTTCTTGTTTTAGTGATTGATCTTGTAATGTTTGATATCGATTTAATGTCATAGGTGTATTATCAGATATTTCTAATGAAGAAAGCATCATCGCTGTTCTTTTTTTTTTTGAGCAATTAGTGTATGAACATAATACCTCGTTCTCGCTGTATGAACATATGATCAGAAGTTATGTTAAACGTAGGAGACTTTGTAAATTCTTTGTTTTGATTTCTGTTCAGAGATAAATATATAGATATAAATACTATCAATATCATATGTTTTAATGGATTTATTAGATGGTTTCATTCAACAGTATTGTATTTTATTTGAAATAGATATTAAAAAAAAATGAAATAATATAGGCTGTAGATTAATATATAAATGAACATTATCAAATCGAAATTTATATTTCAAGTTCTATTCATGAGGGAACTATCACCTACCATTTGACCTCAAAAACAGATCTTCGTAAAACTAGAAAAAGTCTAAAATAATCCGTCCTTATAAGCCTTCGAAACCGGCTTATGGCCATTGTACTAAATTTTCGATTCATTTTTAGGCATTTATTGGAAAATCAAATCACAGAATTTCGACCTAAAACTTTGTCCATAAATAGGTCTAATGATTCTTCTCAAAGAAAATCGTTCACCATAGACATATCACAAAAATTAAGTTTTCTAGAAGTTTCAATATCTCGACAAAGAAACATGATTGTTGGCTGAAACTTTTAGAATATACTAAAGGTTATTAAACCTATCTATGAGAAAAATTCTTTTAGACTTTGTCTACTCTTCGAAAAACCTTCTTGTGGACCTAATATGATGTCGAATAGCAGGTAACAGTTGGAGTAGTTTCTTCATCAGTTTAAATCTTCCGACCTGTAAACATGTTTAATTAAGAGATTTGATAGAACTTCTACCATGGTTTCCACAAAAATGAATCGAATTGAAATAGTTTCAAAAAGTGTTGCAGCATTGAAAGCATTATTACAAATAAAAAATGAGTTCAGATGAAATTTCGTATAGTAAAACATGTTTTAGGACAAAAAAGAATCATGCAATGAAACTATATTTAGACGATTTTCTTTCAGAATGATTTAAAAAATTACTCAAAAACAAAAATCATTAAATTTTTCTCGATATGAAAATTTGTTGATAAAATAAAATTTTTTTTTTTTTTAGAAAACATACGATCTCTTCGAAATTTCATTATTGATACTTAACGATCTAATATCAGAATCAAGTTGACTATTTTCACTATATCGTTGTTGTCTTTTTGCTGAGATAAAAATGCCAATAACAGTCCCAATTATAATACCAACTAAAAAAGATGTTATTCCAATAACTAATGATAGAAGTATATGTGGAGATCGTTTCAATTGATCATTAATATCTCGTTTTAATCTTTTCTGTAAATAAGATTGTTGTACAGGATGACATTCATATAGTTCATTATAATATCTTTTTGTTAATGAACATCTAGCTATTAAATATTCTAATTGTCTATAACATTTATCTATATATATGTCACTTGTATTAGGTTCAATACTAAATCGATTATGTGCATTATCTGTCCATGACAGATATGTATGTTGATGACTCATTGGATGATTAATATGTGAAGAGAAGAGTTGAATTTCAAATAAATGAGCCAACGAAATGAAACAGATATGCCAAATCATAATAGAACTGAAATAGGAACTTAGATCATATTTCTTTAGAAATATTAAATATTTAAAAGAAATTTACGCGCTTTATATATTATATCAGTCAATCGATTTGACTTTAAACATTTTCGAAGATTTAAGATCTTAATTTTTATTAATAAATTAAATTAAAGAAAAATTCTGACGATGTTCCTCAGATAGCCATGATATTTATTTAAAAAATACTGTAAAAGTATAATATCTCCGTAAACAATAAGCTAAAAGTACGAGAGATAGTTTTTATTCATTGAATCAAACTGTAGAAGACAAGTAATTAGACAATTTGAATATTTTTCTAATTGATCTTTAGGATTCTAATAGAATTTAGATAAAATTTAAAATTATACAAGTTTCTAAGATTTACAACCAAAATGAAAATTAATTGTCAAAAAAAAAAAATTGTTTTTGTTATTCTTGTTCATACTCATCAACATATAAAATATCTGCCTATCATTTATTATATTATTTTTTATTATCAAAAGAATCAAATATTCTATTACATTCATTTAAATAAACAAATTTATGTAAAATGGTTTTATTATATTTAACACACTATCAATAATTATAACTACTTTCAATACTTGATCGATAGTTAGTTTGTTGAGTAGCTGATAAATTTTGCATACATCCTGTAAAGAAAATTATTGCGATGATAATACCAAACATAACCAGAAGAAGTACAAAACCACCAATACCCAATAAAACATAGAGCAATGTATTATTCGATGATGGCTTTTCTGTAAAGATCAAATTTTTTCACAAAACAATACCATAGAAAAATTTTGATTGAAAAATTTACCTTGCGAAGCAATTTGTGGCGATGGTGGAGGTTCTTGCTGAACTTAAAACAAAACAAATGTTCATTACAATTTCTCTCACAATTGAATTAGTCTTACTGATAATTTGTTGCGGAGGTAATGGTTGAATTGGTTGTAGCTCTGCTGATGGCTGTTCTTTGAAAATGTATCAAAGAATTCCATAAACAAAAAAAGTTCAATTCGAATACATACTATTTCCATTAAGTAAATTACCAAGTAAATCAACAGCAAATGGTGCAACTGCTCCAATAATTGATGCTATTGCTCGATTTGAAAATATAGAAGTTTCATTATCTATTGTATAATTTTCCGACATAGCTGCCACTTACAAGAAAAAAGACAAACATATGAATAAAAAAAAAAACAATTGTCTATATTTTTTTAAACTTACTATCACATATAAATAGCATACTTTCATTACATTCTAATCGACTTAAACATAATGTACCATTTTTTAAATTGTTTCTTTTTATAAATACACATTCGAAATTAGAATTATTTTCATTTTCATCACATAAAACATCTTCTAATTCTTTTACTATTTTGAAAAAAAAAACTATATGCATAGTGTTCCAAACGTTCGAACGACAAAAAGAAATGTGAATACTTCTTCAGCAATTCAAAAAAATTTAAACAGTTTCACTCATGTTCAAGTTCGAGTAATTCAACATTATAAAACGGTAACTAGAAATTGAACTTGGAGAAGATACCTCAACTAAATATTGTATTAGCGACACATGCTAATGATTTGGTAAAACCAGTACTGTCGCAAATCGATGATCGTAGAGTAATTACTGCAGTAATCAGGATACTTGTAAAAATGAATTAGAATCAAATGTTGGATCTTTGTAGTTCTTCTTCGTAGAACTATCGAACAAATTGTACCTTGTATGACTTTAATAAGAGATGTTCCGTCATAATTTGGTATGCTATTGCTTGTAGTAATGAGCAAGCTTGTGCAATAGATCGAATACTTGGTCCTAGCTTATTTTCACAAGGATCATTTAGGGTACTTCCCATCTTTTGGATCACTTCTGGTTCTCCACGAGAGTACAATCTGTTGGGCTCAAATTTTTATCACGGCTACATGACGGAAAATGATGGAATCCATGTTCGAGGACATTTCTCGAACATGGATTCCATCATTTTCCGTAATGTATCTGTGATAAAAATTTGAACTCAATCGATTATACACTCGCGGAGAATCAGAAGGAATTGAAAAAAGGGGAAGTACTCTTAACTGCATTGACTTTCTCTTCAATCATTTCTGTAAGTCTTTCAGAACACAATCGATTTGCGACAGTATCAGTTTCAAAAAATTGCTGAAATATAGTTCTAATACGGGATTCAGTTAGCGTGTTTTTTTTTTGACGAATTCGACTTGCAGCTTTCGTTTTACAATAGTAGCTGAGACAAATTTAACCAGGAGTAAAACTATTTTAATTCTGACTTCTGTAGATAGACATTTTATCTGAAAACTTTAATAGATATATGATCGCACTGTAAAAAAAAATTTAAATTCCTTGAGTTGTTGAGAAGCTATTCACATGTTTTTTTTTTCTTTCGAGTTTTTTGAACATTAGAAAATAATAATAAATAAATTTACTATTTAATCTATTTATCCATGCACCAAGTCGAAAATATATTGTTATAGCACTTGAAAATGTACTATGAAGTAATATATTTACTATTAATTGAAATTGTTTAAATTCATCTATATTGTATATATGAAAAATTTGTGCAGAAAATGTATGGCAAATATGATTTGCTTGATCATATGAAAGACCACCTTCAGATGGTACAGCAAATGAAAGACAGCGATTAGTTTTCCATTGAATCCAACCCGATAGACAAGAAAGACAATCATTTTGTTCATTATTCCAAAATGTTGATGATTTCGGACATATACATTTATTTGTATTTGAACATATCAATGGATTAGTACAAGAGAAATTATTAGAACATGATTCATTAAATGATGATAAAACTAATTTCGATAAGAAGATATATTTAATTAAAATTAATTATTATTGTTATATATTACCTGAAGACGACTTAGATGATTTGAATAATGTGTACTGAACATAGATGAACCCAAGCAGAAAGCGAAACATAGAATACTAAAATGTTTATTGTAAAATACATGAGACAAAGCGCGGTTAGTTTAAACAAAAAGTTTATTTTTTCTTTTTGTTTCGAAAATAGAAAAGAACAATAATCATTGAATATTTCTCTTTTTTTAATATAAATAGATGTGTGTTAACAATTAGTGTTTCTAATGGCTAACAGAATTACAATCAAAAGTAGCATTATACATATTGAAGCGTGGTCAAAAAGTTTCAACCCTTCTCAGTAAACTGATGATATTTATGACAAACTTATATATAGTTAATTGACCGAAATATATGAAAAAAAAGATACTTCGAAATACATTTCTTCTAACATTTTCTAAGAAAAATTTAAAAAAAGCTTTTCTCAATAAAATACCTCAATGATTTATAAGTTTTTATATAAATATCAATTCTCAAATTTTGTTTGTTTTATATTGAATGTACACATTATGTCAATGATAATCAATTTGTGAAGTTTTTTTACAGTGCAATAAATAAACATTTCTTGTTTTCTCACATATAATACCACTCTTTGATTGTATTATGAATAAAAGAGATGTCTCATTTTGTCATTCAATCTATCCTTGCAGATAAAATAAACAAATATTTCAGATGATGATACTGAACAGATACAGTAGTGGATGAAAGTCTCCACTTCCTTGGATCTCAGCCATCATACATGCTGAAGATCTAGAGATTTGTGTGCACATACTCCAGCAAGAATGTAGTCCAACAGCACCATTTCGTTTTAAAGAGAATTATGATAGATGGTACCTATTGTTTTCTTTAATATCTACAACTTGTAAAATGGTTGCCTGCTAAATATTGTGTAGTTTCTTGTTAAATGCAGGACTATTTATTGATATTTTTACATGAAACTAAGATCCAGTTTATGATCTTTCTTCAGTCAAAAGATGTGTTCATTTGCTTGAGTATTGGCGTTCGTGAATCGTCGGTGCCAACATGATGATCATGGGTAAACCATTTCCATAAAATATAAGGTTTATTTCTGAAACTTGTATACAACAATGTTCAATTGTAGAGAAAACTTACTTTAAAGTTTAATCTCAATACATTGAATTATCATTGAATTATTGACCTATGAAGAGTAATAGATGGTATTATGTGGCATCAATAGTTATAGTCAAATAGACATAGGTCTTGAAAGGTTTCATGAATTTCAATAAAATTAGTAATATAAATAGCTGAAACAAAGATAAAGTGTCAATTAACCTGAAAGATTCCTCATTTCTAAAGTTTTTAAAATATAATCAAAGATGTCATGGCTGAGTGACTGCGTTGTTCACATGTATTCACAAGGTACTATGTTCAAATCTCAATACCACAAGCGATGAAATGATCCTGGATAAGTTGCTAATAGCTGTTTGTCTCGGATCATTCGTCTGATAGCATGCTGACTACGTTATGACATACATCTGATCTTGTGTTTAGTTACTGTGTATATAGTGTAACATATCGAGCAATTGAATGTGCCTCTAGGCAACACTCCATATCACAAGGTAAACGAGAGGCAGAGATATTCTTTTCTTTTACTTAAAGTATAATCTCTTGCAAAAGATTCATATTGTTTAGATCTTTATTTAAATATAAATAGTGAAAATAAACTTAATTTATCATTATGTCATATATGACGAGATATATTCTGTTTTATTAAATGAAAAGCAAAATTTATACGTTTATTATCATGAAATTCTGATCAATATGTAGCATCACTAGCAGTCGAATCGACACTAGTTCGATCACGTCGTCGACGAAAGCGTGATGGTCGTGATGATGCTGTTGAGCTATTGTCACTTTTTAAAAGAAGAAAACCACCACAAAAACAACAGCAGAGTATTATAATTAAAATGAGAATAAAAATACCAGCAGCAACTAATTTACGACGATAATTTTCATACTTTTCTTTTTTTCAAAAAAATCAAACTTACTGCCAATGTAGAGTATAGTATTATTTGATTTTGAAGTTTCTATAAACTGATAATAGAATAAAACAGAATGAAATTATATAATGACACATACGTGACAATGGTTGTTCTATTTCTATCTTTGGTGGATTTGTATGATCTCAAATATGAAAACTCTTTTTTTCAGATAATTATCTATTATATCCTCACAGATAATTATTGGCTCTGGTGGTGGTAGCGGTGATGGTGGTGGTGGCGGCGGTGGATTAGCTGAACTCAGATAAAAAAGAAATATTAATTCATAGATTTATTAAACTATATCTTTATATGATGACTTACAACCGAATAGATTTCCAATAAGATTACCAATTAATCCGAAGATTCTATTGTCATTGTTCACATCATTTTGAATATTTGCTAATCCTGCAAAATACTAATAACGATAAGAAATGTATCAATCAAACTCTCGATAGCATTCATAACGAATGCCTTACTCTTGCAAATATATGATAATTTTTCATTACATTGTACATGACTTAGACAAAGTGATGTATTACTTTTATCATTTGAAAATTGTTTCGTTATACGAATACAATCATTCCATGACAATATATCATTTTCATATTCCATATCACACCATTCATATGAATTCATCGAATTTGTATCTGTAGTTTAAGAATTATTTGAATGTAGAATTAATTTTTCTAACTCACAATCAGTAAAATTAATCCAAACACCATTACTTAAAAATTCATTTAATTTATTAGTATATTCACCTTTTAACATATCGTTTATTTTATATTGAAATTCTATATAATCTTGATAATAATCAATTTGTAGTAATTGTCCTGAATATGTCAAACAAGCATTTTTGGCTTTCTCACGTATGATACCACCTTCTGGTGGTTGTATAAATAAAAGACATGTCTCATTTTTCCATTCAATCCATCCGGATGGACAAAATAGACAAGTATTTTGTTCTGCACTCCAAAATGTTTCAGATGATGATAGTGGACAGATACATTGACTTGAATTCGAACAAATTAAAGGATAATGACAGGATAAATCATTTGAACAGAAATCACCAAATGATGCTAAAATATTGTAATAGGAAATAAAAGTTATTCGATCTTAACTAACCTGATGATACAAAAGATATGAAGATAAAATTAAGAACATAAGCGAACTCAAAATGAGAACGCAACATAGAATAGTACAATCTAATTCAAAGTCAGAATAGTAATTGAAAGAAATGCGCTAAAAATAATCTTTTGTCATATAATATAACAATCATATTTTACAAAACAATTCTCTTTTTTTTTTATAATATTTATTTTAGAAGTCGTCATAATTTTTTTTATATTAGAACAATTTAAAAAAATCCTTTCTTTTTTGCCGATGATTAAAAATTAAAAAGAATATAACAATTCTTTTTGAACCTTGCCATTCAAAAGACTATGCAACTAACATATAAAGAAAAATATGTCTTTCAGAAATAGTTGATTAACAAACGAACAAACACATATCTCCAATGGATAATGATTCATTGTTTTCATGAATTTTCTTTTCTTTTCTTTTCTTTTCTCTCTATATTTATCTATATGTTCCTCGTCTATGTTTATTTTTTTTCCTTTCAAAACTAAAATGCTATCGTTATCAAGTAGTCAGAGTGAACCATCAGCACTTTTATCTAATGCTCGATTAACTATTGCAACATTAATCCAACGACCAAGTACAATAACAACATCAAATGCTTTTGATGAATTTTCTATATTAGATCATTTAATTGATGTTAGTAATGATGTTGATCGTTTTGAAGATGGTGAAAGTCGTAAATTTTTAAATATAGCACAATTAATAACAGCATCAACATGTATTTATTCTCGTCGTGTTGATGCACTTTATAAATTAATAAATACATTTCAATCATCATCATCGGATAATAAACATGATGAAAGTATTTCAAATGAAAATCAACAATCAGAATCAATTATTATTCATAAACAAGAAGAAAATCAAACAAAAAAAATTATTCAAGAAAAAAAGAAAAAACCTAAAGAAGAAAATCGTCGTTCATTTATATGTAATGATTTAACTAAAATAAATTTAAATTCATCAAAAAATTTTTTTCTTGATCGAACATCTTTATTTGATCTTAAACTTTTTCAAAAAAATGTACCAATAGGAAATAAACAATTTTGGATAAATGATAATCGACCGATGATATTTGATCTTCTTTTTCATAATCAATTAATTGAAACTAATGAAATTTATCTACAACAAGAATCTGAACAATTAATTGATGTAGTTAATAAATTATCACCAATTATACATAGATCAACATTGAATGATAATGATATTCCATTACCTATATCTACATATGATGATCAAGAATCATCATGGAATAATGAAAATATAATTGAACATGAAAAATTTATTGAAAAGAAAAAAATTATAATAAATAAAAATCGAAGAAAAAAATTAAAACAAGATATTGATCTTAATATATTTCGTAATGGTCTTACAGATGAACAACAAGAACATTTTCGTTTTCATAAAATGAAACCATTAACAAATAAAATTAAAATTGAACAAACACAATTTTTTATTAAAAAATTAAATCGAAATCATTTTGATAAATTAATTAAAGGTTAGTAGAATTAAAAAATTAGTTTTCATTACTTATAACAATTAAATTCAATATAAATTTATATTAAACGAAAATAAATATCTATATAAACATAGAATAAATAAATATTAGTAAGATCTGTAGAAAACCAAGACAGCTTTCTAGTTTCTGTGCAAAGGTTTTATGAAAATATTTTATTTGATAGAACAAAATGAGATATCTTTGATTTCTCCATGACCTTCGTTCATCAAACTGCATTCAATTTATAGAAAAAGCAGTTTTTTTTTTGTTCTTTTTATTGAAAATTTCAATGTTTTTACCATATTTGACGCTTTGAGGTTTTCTATACTTTGAATGTAGTTCGATGAAGGAAGATCATGAAAAGATCGGAGATGTCTCATTTTGTAACACCTTTTTCGTTTAATTCCACTTTCTTTTCCTTAACTGTATCATATTATGAATTTTTTTTTTGAATTATAAGTCTTCACAATAATGATGGTCCTCATTGTATACGTTCTATTAATGATTATTTTACACAACAGAAACGTTGAGACTGTTCTCTACAAAGTCAGCTAAGAACTGAGAGTTTCCTTTTACCAAATTTCTCATTACTAATAGACACCTTACAGAACATTGATCATCGAGATATTTACTTATTCTATTGATGTATTTAGATTTGTTCATAATTGTTGACCTCTGAGTCTCACTAAAATTCTAAACATAAATTTGGAAAAGGGTACAACAGTCCAATTTTGAATTCTGTGTTCAATCAATAAAATGTTGATATAAACTTGATCAAATAATCTTTAATCAGCAACGATTCATTCTTTACTAAGGGAAATCGTGTTCTTTGTCAATTAGACTTTCACTACGTGGTTAGCAAATATTTTATGGATTTTTATCAATTATCACAAAACTATATGACTATAACATATATGTAAAAACGAAAATGTATCTTGATGTTTGTACTCATGAAAGTAGTTAATACAAATCTCTCTAATCAATACTAAATTTATACTCAAATTAACAAATTTCTCATAACTATTTATAGATTTATTTGATTTTTCTTGTAAATATAAATAGTTTTATTCAAAATAAATTTTGTTTTCTTTTTTAGATTGTCCATCATCGATTGTATCGATTTTTATTTATCCAACAATTACTATTCATCATTTAACAGTTCGAGAACGATATTCAACAAAAATTGATCAATCATTTTCTCGAACTATTCGTTCATCTTCTATACCTATAACCGATGTACTTAATGAAAATGTATTAATTTCATCATTGTCACCACCAACCTCACCTTTATTTACTCATGATTTTAATGAAGATATACAAGAAGATGTTGATATTCGTCTTCAAACCGATATGGAACACATACTTGATGCAGCTACATATCATTCAAATGAAGAACAAGAAAATAATAAAATATTTCTTGAACTTCGTTCATTAATAATATCATATATGAATGAACATGATTCAGTAAAAACGATAAATCTTGATGATTTACTCGAAACACTTCATGATAATTATTCATTACCACTTGTTTTTAGTCAATTATTACATTTATGTGCTACAACACAACGTTATTATCTTCATTCAACATCTAATGATAATTTGTTTATACAAAAAAAATAATATAGACAATTGTTTTATATAGATTTCTTAACTAGTTTTATTTATTTATTTATTTATTGTAAACAAAACAAAAGGATAGATTTTTTTTATAAGATGAATTTTATTTGTTGTTTTTTTTGAAATATGAAAAAGATATCTATAAAAGACTTATTTCTAGTTACATTGAAATTTGAATAGCATACTATTCATATATTATTCCATGTAGATAATTTCTATGCGTAAGGTGATGAAAAAAAGTTTAACGAAAATATATTTTTCTATAATGTTAAGCAATTAGCTCAAATCGAGATAGTGACTTTAATAGCCAATGGAATTTTCTATCTAAGTTTTTTTTGGTAAACATTTTTTAGAATTTAAATGAATGTTTACATAGTTCATAATAGTTTTCGATTGTCACATAATTGAGTCTTTGAGACAGGTCTAATTTATCAATTAAAAGTCGATCAATTGTATTGACGTCATATTTAATGTCAATGAGTAAAAGAAAATTTGATGTTGTTTAAAACTAATGAATCATATGAGAATAATGAAAAGTTTGGTTTTAAAATCATAGAAAACTTTATCAATAAAGTATAGACTTATAGTTAGATTTTATTATTTTCGAGGTTTTGTCAGCATTAAATGCCTGATTTTCTCCTAGACCTAACTTGTCAATAGCTCCACTCCAGTACACTTGTGCAGTTTAGTCATATGAGTCGAAAGCGATAAAATGAGATATTTAGTGACACTAAGTCTTTTGAAAAAAAACTAACGATTGAAACGAATTTCATTCCAATTGAGAACAGTCATACATTGAGTTCTTTCTCAAAGTTCTTCTTCATACAATGGATCAAACTATGAATGAGGACGAAAAAAATCTTTTATTTAAAATTATACAGTCAAAAATAAAAAATAACATCACATTAATCACTAAAATTATTTTTAAACTAAATTTATTTAATATTTTAAAACTTATTAAACTGAATTAAAATTCAACTGAATAAATAATAAGAATAATAATAAAATTATTTGAATATTTCTTATGATGATGATAAATCTTGTGTCTTTTTTTTTCTTCTATTCATCCGCCATGCTTCCAATTGAACTAGCAAAACTTGGTCTACTTTGAGTTGCACCTTCATTTCTACCAGTAGGATTAAGTGTACTTTTTTTTTTATTTTTTATAAATATATATCCAGCAATGGCTCCAATAATAAGAACTGCTCCTACAATAGCAATTATAATTATATTTGTCGTTGTTAGAAAACCTGACTCTTCTTTAAGCTGAAAATAGAAATAGAACAATTGTTTTTACAGAGAAAAAAATTACGATTTATAACATACAGCTCCTGCTGAACCAAGATTTTCCGCAGTAAAATTAGGATCTTTTGTTGGAGGAGATGGTAGTTCTTCAAAATCGATTGTGTTACCATTTGTTTCAAATGAAGTACCTTGATCTGTTCCGGATGAAATGCCAACATTATTAGTATCTGCATAAAAAAAAGTCATAAATGAATTGTAATCAGGATTCTCAAATCTACTTGAAATCTCTTTTATTTATTTTTGTTTTACATACCATAATGCGCAGAACTAGCTAATTTCATACTAGCAGCATTCATTTCGCATATAAATGGATATTTTTGACTACAGTAATCATTTGACAAGCAGAGAAAATTTGAGCCTGGTAGACCAAAATTGTATGTAACACATTCTTCACGTTCAGTACCATTCGGACCTTAAAAAAGGTAATAGAATGAACCTGTGGTGAATTTTGAGAGACGATCGCTCGTCCGTTTCGAAATATTTTTTTCACTAGAGAATCATTCGAGGTGATAGCTTGCATTGGAAATGAGATCCCAGCCATTACGTAGAGTCACTTGAGTATCACCTCGGATGGTTCTTTCATCAACAAAGAAATACTCGAAAATGAACTGACACAATCTCTAATAAATTTCAAAGCACGTTTTATGATCAAAATCGTCCTCGTTTCCCAAAATTCTATATCCGATAGTAAAAAGAGCAATCATGTATATTATTATACCTTGTCTAGTTTCTGATGTTGGTTCTTTTTGTAATGAATAACCTGAATGATCTGTTGGATCACACCATTCGGTACTAGTCAAGTCTAATTTCATTCCATCAGGATCCATCCATTGAATAGTATATGCTATAAAAGAATTTCATTTCTTCTGATCTTCACTAATCATTATAACAAAAAAACATTATATAACTTACGTTTTAATGAAGTTATCTTAGCACCAGCCCATATAACATACGGCTGATTTGGTTTTGGTTTCAGCATCAAATACCATGTCTGTACAAAAAGAGGTGTAGATACCCAACTTTGTATAAGAGGTCGAATAAATTGTTCATCATGATTATCACGCCATGTCACTAAATCAGCATATTGAGCACGACAATGAATTCTAGATGCTTCCCATGTTTTTAATTCATAAAAATATTTATAACATCTATCTCCTATTCATACTTACAAAAAAATGTATATTATAAATTTTATTCAAGAACTTTTTTTACGTGTTACAATATATTCTTTCGCACATATAGCACACATTGTTCCTATAGAAAATATTTTAAAAAGAAAAATTTTATTTTTAATTAATTAAACCTGTCCAAAAACGTCTTTCATTCAGATTACAAAGACAAAGTTTATTTAAACATGTTTGATATTGATCACAATCACTATCACTATTACAAAATGCACCATATCTACTTGCTAATATGGATTTAAATAAATAATGAGATAAATTTGATTCAATTTTCGATTTATTTACCTGATATAACTGGAAATTGAAAGATGAATAAAGAAAGAATTATTTTTTTAATGAACATGTTCATATTCATATAATATAATGTAGACAAATCGAATAGTTTTAACAGACTGATATTATGGACGAATATGAAATATAAGAATTAATGAAATGCGCCAAATAAATATTATTCAATAGTAGACTTTTGTTTTGATAATATGAAAAAAGAAAATCAAATTTTTATTTGTATATGTATTTTCGTACTTAAAAAGTTCAACAGCATAATTAATTGCTTTTTTTTATATGATGATGTATTCTTTTAAGTTTTATTTCATATAATTTGATTTACAACAAATGTTTAAGATGATTATTATCAACTAAAATATATTAAACTATATTTTTAAAATCTTTTTAAAAAAGTTTGTTAGTGTGATCTCTTGGAGGCTGAAATATAGAACTTACATGTCTTCTGTAGCTTCGTTATACTAAAATAATATTAAGTAAAGTGTAAAATTTCTAAAAGATGATAGTGCTTTTCCAACGATAATTGATTATCAGCAAACCTTATGTCTTTTTTTCTTTCTACATTTCGAACAGAAATTTCGTTTTCTTTTTAATGCGTTACGAAATACAACATTTATGTACGCATTTGGTTTCCATACTTGGTGTGTTTTTTACTGTAACGAGATTTGTATTTTGTGACAAGCAATTCTAGAGAACGATGAGTCAGAAAATATGCAGATAGATGTTCTTGTGCTGTCTTATTTATATATCGCAGTAGATAAAAGTTATTTTAATAGCGTGGATTTGTAAGGAATCTTTTTCCGTAGGAAATTCTTATATTTGAAACCAAAATAAACCACGTCACTTATGTTATATACCTTTGTTACAGTATGAATATCGGGAATATCAAATGTAACAGTTTCGTACCGAAAAAGATTCCCTAGTAAATAAGAAAGTACAAGAACGTCTATTCGTGATTGATGTTATAGACAAGGGATGAATAAAACAATTTTTCAACATGAAATTTCTGTTCAAATAGAATATCTTATGCAATTTGTGTTGCTTTTGCTAATGATATATTAAACAATAAAATTAGCTAAGCATTGTAGGAAATACATAAAGTACAAATTATACTATTGAGTCATGTATCATAACGAAAGTTTCAACTTAGAACAGATGTGCAACAGTTTACAAAAATAAATGGTTGGATACTTTTGAAAGAATGAAAAAAAATGGCATGCTGTGATTATGTTGTCAATAAAAATTAAACAGATCGATTGAATAGTCTGAAGTTTTCTATTACTATACTAGAGATTGTCAGCTATGATCTGACGACAACCACATGATTCTAATTCATATAATTTTTGAAGCGATTCAATCAATAGATTGTTATAAGGTTGTAAATAAACTTAATCCAGACGAAGAAGTTACAGCAAATAATAAATGTTTAAGTCAGCCAATTTATACATCCACAGCCAATGCTATTAAAATATTTACAAGGGATTTCTCATAACTGGACAGTATGAACAGACAAAACGATCTAGTCATGACATGATGTGAACTAGGTACCTGCACATCTTTTCAGACCGGGTCCGGACTCAACTTTTTTTTGTTTTTTGTCAGGATCGAATCCAAAGTTTTTATTTTTGTCGGGTACAAGTTCTCATTCAGATTTAACTTCAGACCCGATTTGTATTTAGATTCGAATCTGAATAGAACTATGTGAAGGGAAGTAAAAAGAAATAATTTTATATTGACTTTTTTGTGTGAGAATAACCAATAAATAACTAAAATCTTGACCCTTTATCTGGTCATGTCCACAAAAAGTGCCAAATATTAGCAAAAAGGAACTGGAGTCTGGACTCGATTGAGTTCGAGTTCAGGAATTTATTTTTTGTTGGGTCCGAGCCCGAGTCCAGAAAATGTGAACCCGCAGATCTTTAGTGTGGACACGTTCTGAACTAGTCTATGTTTAGTTACACGCCACTTCTCATCAAGACGACTGGTCTTGATGAGTTGCAAGTCATTTCAAACTCAACTAGACTAGACGGTAGTGCAGACATTTGAGGCTAGTCATGTTGACCATTTTTCTTTTATTTTTTGGTCGTCTGAATTGTTGGTGTAGAGATATATGCAAAATAATCGACTTTATTTTGACGTTTTTTCCTCTGGAAATAATAGGACATTTCACCATTATTATATAGTGCTTCACTTTTAGCCTTATAAAAAAACATCAAACTTATTCAATAGGATTTCTCTGTAATGATAAATGACCGTCACACTTCAATTTCCCTCTATTCTTTTCTCTTTATGACTTCTTCAATAATGTTGGCTGTGACAACGTATGTTTCTCTTCCACTTGTCTTGTGTAACTACTATATAAAGATTTGTTCGTAGTAATATATAGATACGATTGAAGGGATGAAGCATCTCAATAAACATCATTGTCGAGAGTACCGATATAGACAACGTCCAGTTTGTCACATCCTCATTACCATTCTTGTAAAGAATGTCACAGTATATCTTTCAACAAAAAATATCACGATTATATAATTTATTCATGCTGAGATTATTTGCAAAAAAACCTGGATGTCGCAATCATGACTCAGTATATAACGAATAGAAATCATTTATAATCTTAAATTTTCCTGATACACCAAAATTTGGAAGTTAAATTAAAATTACCGAGTTGATTGATTTAATGACATCTTTTTTTCCATGTGTTCTCATAAGCAAAATTAATCGTAATATTGTCAAACGTTGATTGTAGTGTAGTGTCATCATTTGCATGAAACTACCCTTAGGCAAAAAAAAACAAAAACACATTTTCAAAGAATACCTATTTCAACTTATTTCTATTAGAGATCTGCGGGACAAACTTTGTCGTGTTCCGAATCCCGTTTGTCCCGTCCCGAAAAATTATAAAGATATCACTTTGTTGAAGAGGATAACACGCACTTTCTGTACCACCAGTAGGAAAAAACACATGCGCTTACGTGGTTGGTAAATGAATTAACGCTTCATTGAATGATTTTCCAAAAAACAAAAGTAACAACATAAATAATAGACTGATAAGATTTCTTTTTAGTTCTCATTGTTATCGAGATAACACTTAATGATCATGTCATCTTCCAATAATCTTCTTTTCTACATATGACGTGACCATCATACATGAAAACATATCGTATACTTGAGGGTATACGATATGTTTTCATGTATGAATAAAAAAGTTCGGGACACAGGTTCTTTCTATATTTTCCCGTCCCGAAAAATTTTCGGGACAATCCCGTTTGTCCCACGGGACAGGACAAACGGGATTTTTCGGAATTCGGGACTGTCCCGCAGTACTCTAGTCAATAAGCTAGTTATGACTTTTTTAACACTACCTAGAGACAGTAGCCGAACACTCACACCCACACCTTAGATGATTTCAGTATCTTATTTAGCGTGAGGACTGAAAGGGCGCTACGTTCTCGAAGATCGTGTTCCTGTCATGTTTTGATAGATATTTAAAGGAAACGTCAATGATTACAACGCTGTCAAAAATGAACATCACACGATCTAACTGTAACGTTTTATTAATTAAAATCAGTGTGGAATTTTTTCATTGTAGATGATTGTTAGGAACTTTGCAATGGTAGAGCAATTTTTGGTTGTTTTTTGTTTTCAACAAGGCGAACTTCGCTTTAACTATAGTAATTAAACAGGATCTTCTTTGGGTTTCTTTTGAATAAATCATTATTTAACACGATTATATCATATTATTCGAAAGCAAAATGAAATAAAATAGAAGATGATTGGTGATTCGATTTGTACTTTCTAGGATAGAAAGAAATGTTCTATGCTCATCTTTTATCGTTTTTCGTGATTGATAATGTATTAATTGATGAATATATAGAATATATGATTAATATGCACTTAATATGTAACATGAAAAAGAAAAATAAACGAAAATCTATTTAAAAAATATTCAATATGTTTTTAATAATCAAGAAATTCTTCATCTTTCTCTTCACTAATACAAACTATTCACAACAAAACTACTATAACTGTAATGCGCTGTTTGAAAATCATATTGAACTCACAAAGAGAAGACTAGGAAAAATCATCAAGATTTAGTTTCCATGGATCTTTGAAACGAATTTATGACGATTTTGATTGAATTTTCAATCCATTTTGGAAGTATTTACTACAAAATCAAAAACTAAAACTAAAACTTTATCCATAAATAAGTCTGATGAGCTATAGCGTTTTTGAAAGTTCTTCAAATAAGAAGAATGTTTTTTTGTTTTTACTATTATATTGAACTTTCAATAAATAGTTGCTTGTCACAAAAAAAAATCGAAATTACTTGAAAATTCAATGTCTCAATAAATGAACATACTTTTCGATTGAAACTTTCAACAATCACTAAACTTATCTTTAAACAGAATTTCAGTAAAATGAGCATAGTTCGCCTTCAAAAGTTCACGTCAACTGATCCTTTTAAACTTTTTATACTCTCACTAAGACCCAATTATTGTCTCAATATAAACTGGAACGATACGTTATTCATCGCGTATGATGTGTTAAAATTCAGATGTCGCCAATAGTTGTTAATTGGAATATCATGAAAAGAAGAAATCTTTCCTCTCAGCATATTTTCATAGATAATTCTATTTTAGCGAATTTATTCTTCATATTATATTTATTGAAACACAAATGGCAATGAAAAAAAAAATCATTCGCGTAATCTGATCCAATCAATGATTTAGTACCTACATGATGAAAATACCCAGATCATAATGGGTCTATTTCGTTGATCAACACAAGTTTGAGTAAGGCCATGTTACACATTTGCAAGAGAAAAACAAACAATAGAAAAATAGAATATATTCCCTGATCCATTTATTTTTATAACTTTCGATAGTTTCTATAGAAAAATATTATTGAATGATTTTGTAATGAATATTTCTATTGTTAAATGTATATTCAATTGACAATTTGTTAAAATTTCATTATCAACACGTTATGTTTCTGATAGAAGTACAAATAATTATGATGTAAAACAGGTTCATTCATTTATTTTTATTTGTATCA